TCATATCTATGACAACACATTTGAGTCACTTACTCTATTTATTATAAACTAGTATTGAATGGCTTAAATAATTCATTGACCAATGAACAAATTGAGGACAGGTAAGACACTCTATTGTTCAGCGATGAGAGGTTCAAGAATTAATTCACTCGAATCATCTTGCAGGCTCGATGCATTAGATAAAGAGGTATTATTTACCCATTAGGTCATTTTCATTTGTAATAAAGTTTTCTCACGCCTTAACTTTAAATGGAAAAGAATGAAGGTTACGAGGAACGGCTGAAAGTATTGAGAACAGGTTCTAAACAAATCTCGGTTGAAGACAAGAAACGTATCGATGAGCTATATGAGAAGAATCGGAAGCTCTGGAGGCAGAGAAAGAGAAAGGTAATGTTGACGTCTTTCATTCTCGGAGGAAGGTTCAATTTTTTGAAAGAAACTTTTTCCAGTTCAACGAAGTTTTCAATCAAATTGCGGAGGCTCTGGAAAGAAAGACCAAAGATTTTATGGTAATTGGGAATTGTCTATTGGCGTCTTTGTGCGCAAAGTGTCCTTGTCCTTTGACCTGCGTTCGCAATTTCACCTGTAGGAGGAATTGGGTGTCGAAACGGACCCGATTGACATTAACGAAGACCCCTTAAAAAATCTGTGAATGCGTTCCTCTCCGATATGGAGGATTTCGTTTCCTCTTTGGTGCATTTTTTTTTTTTCGTGCATAGTCATCCATTTCGCTTATCGAGCATTAAAACATTCATGCACATTGGTTTCCTTCATGTAACCTTGTTCTTATTTAACCTTACCGCGCACTCATGCAAGTCACGTCATTTGCAACGCTAGATTTGTGCATTTATATCATTACGCCACCTGAGTCAACGGAGTCACGATATTGAATAATCACATTTATAGCGTTATCATTAACATATACGATTCTATTTCGATCATATTACCCATTGGATGTGCAGCGTCGCTAATTTAGGAAGGATGTTGTCTTGGCCATACATATAACCAGAGTTAGCTCCGGCCGTCCGTGCTGTGGAATGTTCATGTTTACACATGCATCACTGTTGTGCCTGTTGTACCAAGCATTAACGTGCAATCCAAGATAACCTTATAATTGGACTATATAAACACCGGTTTTTCTCTCACCTAGGCTTACAGCACACAACCCTTTTTTTTCCTAGTCAGCCATATTATATTGATTAATTGATCAATCTGCCCATATAAAATTTGATTACATAATCCAATTAAAAAATATTTTCCGATCTAAACACATAAGGGATCTTTTTTTTTTTTTCCAACATGGTATTTAAATTACTCGGAAAATTCACAATTCCCACAATTCTCCAATTTCAATCTTCTCCTTCGACGCCGCAAAAAAGTAAATTGGCAGCTACATTATATCCAACGCTTTCTTCACAGGCGGCAGCTCGTCGTAGCATGATTTCCACAACCTCTGCGGAAGAGATAAACTCCTGGTCCTCGACTCCCGACGAATCCCCGGTTCCCATGGACATCAAAGAAGTCATACCATTGACGACGATCTGTGCGGAACAAGAGCTCCACAGAGTAGCTTTTAAAACTCTGCAACAGTGCATAGATCTTTTGAAAAGTTTGCCGGACGACGAGAGTTTCGT